CACACACACACACACACACACACACACACACACACACCACGGTGAATTAAACCTGTAGCAATTCCATCTTAGAATCTTCAGATGAGTGAAAGCTCACCGACTCCACCTGCTAAAATCATTTCATCTAAAACCATTCTCTTTTCCTCCTTAAGATTCACATCCATAGTTCTTTCTTAACACAAAGGAAGGCTATTTGGGCTCTAGATTTTCAAGAGCTACTTAACTGTCACCCAGGGCAGAGATGTTCAGAACCTAAGGACCCACACACCACGTGTAACCCCACAGCCTTTCCAAAATCCCGCATTAGAATAGTAGTAAAGGCGGTCAGACTGTTTTGGATTTCTTAATTGACTTCTAAATTAATGTTTTGTCTGAAAAATTCTTCCAGCTGTGATGGAACAGCACCATTTGAAACAAAGATTTCAGCAAATTTTTTTCACCAAGAGATCTGGTTTCTTCTTGAGGGGATTGACTGTTCCTGCCACTATTCCTGGCCTTGTTCATTCAGACAAGACGGTGACCCTAAACAATGAATTTCAGCTTCTAATATCATGCGTGAACCAGTTTTATAGCAAAGAGTCACTGAGCAATATCGTTCTTAGCTACAGGTGTTTGAACATATAGATGTTTACCATTACACAGTTTTGTATAATAAATCTTCCAGGCTACTTTTAACTTTTTAAATCCCCTTTGAATTATCAGAAGTCCTTTGGCAAAATATATACTTTAAAAAACTTTTTTAATGTTTGTTTATTTTTGAGAGAGGGAGAGAGAGAGAGACAGAGCGTGCGTGGGGGAAGGGCAGAGAGAGAGAGGGAGACACAGAATCCGAAGAAGACTCCAGGTGCTGAGCTGTCAGCACAGAGTTAGATGAGGGGCTTGAACCCACAAGCCGTGATATCATGACCTGAACAGAAGTCGGTCGCTTAACCGACTGAGCCACCCATGTGCCCCTGGCAAACTATATACTTTTAAAACAATAGAACTACATTGTTTCCCTAGAAAGAGTGACATTGACATAAAGACTTTTTCTATAGTTGAGGTGTGAGATAGAGAGGTGAATGAAATTTCAAAGAAGCTATTGAAAGCAGGATCCCCGTTGCCTCATCGTGCTAGCACCATCAGCCACAAGACCGAACATAAAGAACCAGTATCTTGGTTTCAAATCCATTTTTTACCAGTCTATTTTTACCAGTCTTTTTGACTACGTATCACAGGCCAGGCACTGTGCTAGTTGCCACTTTTATGATGAGAAGCAATACAGACATGGTCCTGTCCATGTTCCTTGTTGAGCTACATTATATGTTTTGCTCCTTAATTTTTTTTTGATGTTTATTTATTTGAGAGAGAACATGCACACATGAAAACACACATGTGCGAGTGTGAGCAGGGGAGGGGGAGAGAGAGGGAGAGAGAGAGAATCCCAAGCAGGCTCTGTGCTGACAGCCTGAGGTGGGGCTTGATCCCATGACCCTGAGATCATGACCTGAGCCGAAATCAAGAGTCTGAGGCTTACCCAACACTCAGTCATCCCTCTCCTTAATTTCTCCTTGATCTTGCAAGTGTAAAAACAAGTTCCATTCAACAAATTATAACTGCAAAATTAAAATGAAATGTTCAAGCCAGCTAATTTTTATGTAATTTAATATAGTCCTAATGGACAAAACAAATAAACCTTAAACAAATTTAACTATTTTTGCTTGGATAGCCTAATAACTCAGAGTAAGGGAAAGA